TTATTTGATTCGGATTTTAAGCATTACTTTTTGGAAACATCAATTGACCGGTATGTGTCATATAAATCGATGGTTTCAATGCATCTAATATGTATAAATTTAACAGATTGAAAGCCACCTATCATCAGTTCGAAATTGATTTACGGTTCGAGGGGAAGGTGCCAAATTGTACTGATTTTCGAGCAACACACTCAGATGGGTATCAAATGGTAAGCAAAGTGTCAATTTCAAAGATTGATTTAATCGAAATCAATGATTCAAGCGATGATGAAGGCCACAGAGAAAGCACCACGAACAATTCGACTCAATTGGTCCGAAAACAGAAATTGGATGGAAATAATGCTTTGGCTTCTGTTCGCTACAAGCACCATGCAACCATTGGAAATAGCACATTGACAAAAGGGACCAGTGATCGCAATGAATCTCGCATTGGCTCAACAACAATCAAAAGACGACGAATCGATAAGGAAATGAGGTCATTCGCTGAAGGTCGCCAGAATAAATCAAGCGCTTTTGATAACTTTTTCAAAACTGTAGCAGCCAATCGCCAGCAGACAAATCAACATCGAGCAATAAACAGTTCCGGAAGCAACACTCGATCGATGTTGGGTGAAAGTCGTGTATCCAGAATCCCTATGCAAAGGACTTTGGCTGAAACAAATCAAATCGCCAGTTTTGGAAATGTCCCAATTTGTGATCAGTAAGATTTAGTTCAAATATTTTTATGAATGTTTTCACATAAATTCAATTCTAATTTTTCTTTTCTTCAGGCGCATTAAGATCGAGAGCACAAGTTCAATGGACTCATCAACAAGAAATATATATGATAATCCAATCATGATTAATAAATCTAACATCGCTTTTGACGACAATTTAGTGATTGAGTCGACTTCCAACGAACGACGAAATGAACCAAGAAATGAAGGAGCAAAGATTTTGAAGAATAAAACGCGGCCATCAATTCCATCAAACCAGTTGGTAGTAAAAAAGCGATTCAAGTGCCAACTTTGTGAATATTCCTGCAATTATAACTCTGACCTCAAGAAACACACGCGTACTCACACCGGCGAGAAGCCGTATCCATGTGAAATTTGCCGCAAAGGATTCACAATGCTACAAAACATGAAGAAGCACAAAGTGACTCACACCAACGAAATCCCGTTCCATTGCCGAGGTTGTTTCAGTGAATTTTCCCAGGAGACCAAGAAAGATGCCCACGAAAAAGTGTGCAAATATCGTCGATATGAATGCCATATCTGCAAGAAATTTTTCACTGTGGGTATAACTCAGTTGAAAATGCATATACGAAAGCACAACGGTGAAAAACCGTTCCGTTGCGAGATTTGTATGGTGCGTTTTACATTCAAATCTAATCTGAAGAAACATTTGAACACAATCCACACCAAAAACAACTATTGAACAATTACATCCATCTCTAAAATATTTCCAACATTCACGTCTGGCCATGATTGGCGTTCTGGTCAAAAGTAGAAACTCCAAAACCGATTTGATTCAATATAATTATTTAAATTCAACACAAGCTAGATTACAACTATAACTA